ATTTGTCCATGTTCCCTTACTCACAAGTGGCTGACATGCAGTCTCTTCTGCACTCCAGGGATAGGATAACTAAAATAGGACCGCTCCTTGCTTCAGTCTTCTCAGCCTCACAGGGTGCCCAGAGCCTGAATTCAAAAAAATTTTACTTTCCCTAGCTCCCTACCAAATTGTTCCCTCTCCTGCTCTTGTTCAAACACTAACTACACTTTTTACATCTCAGGTAGGGCTGCTACATGTCTGTAGGTGGGTTCTTCTGATTACTCTTGTGTTTCCAATTAACCAATAAGTGCTGAGCCTACTCTGTTTCCAGGCTGAGCTAGATGCTGTAAAGTATCCTGTATTTATAGGTCCTAGTTATTTTCTTCAAAGAGATTATGTGGTTGGAGAGACAAAAATCACAGAAAGAAGGAGCTAAAAGATAATCAAGTCTTGTGGGGGGCACCTATGAATGATTTTTGGAGGATTGGTACAAGAAACTCCAAAGAGGTGATGCTAAAATTTGGAGTACTTGTGGCATGTTGGGGCAAGTGTACAAGAATTTGATAAGATTTTCAAAAAGGGCTATGAACCCATCTCTCCACCACAAACAAATGAATATGATCAAGAAATGCTAGTTAAAGCACTAGTTGTACAGTAGCTATTTCTGTTTACTGATATTTCTCACAGTCAATTATAGTCTATTGCACTAGGTAATGTCAGCACCAAAAAGTAGATTGAATTTAATGACTTGGGTGTTGGACATTCTTTCCATTTAAGAGTGACTTAGAGAAGCTATTAATAAAACATTCAAGGCTCACAGTGACTTTCATAGGCAATTGACAACTTGTTCATGTTCCCTCCACTCAACAAAGTGACTGACATGCAGATCCTTCTGCACTCCAGAGATAGGACAACAAAAATACCACCTCTCCCTGTTTGGTCTTCTCTCAGTCTCAGTATCCAGGACCTGGGTTCAGAAAACATTTTACTTTTCCTGGCTCCCACCAAATCGTTCTCATTCTAGCTCTTGTTTGAACGCCAGCTATACTTTTTCCAAAAAAAAAAAAAGTCTTGAAAGAAAACTGGAAATTGTGTGACCCCAATCTGAAGTTTGGTTTGGAGCTGAGTACTGTATCAGGACACATCAACATTATCTGCATCCTTGTCGATAATGTTCTCTTACTTTGGTATAGCTACGGGAAGTTTGCAAAGCCCTTTCTTATCCAAAGATTTGTTCATCCAGGCAGGTTGGCAAGACAAGGCTTATTGGCTTCATTTTATCAAACAAAACAAAACAGAGTATTAGGGTGCAGCTGAATGTCAAATCCACTTTTTCTGACCGCTGCTTTCTCTAGTATATCTTGCTCTCTCAACCAGGACTGCATTTGGGGGTGGGCTTCTAGGCAGATGACTTCAGTTGCAGTTTTCAGCTGTGTACTGCTGACGAAACCCGTTTCTATTTGTAGATCTTCCCTGGGGTAGGTTGGTGTGCTAGTTTTGGACTTTCTTCAGACTTTTGCTCCGTCTCTAATACTGTACTGACCCTGCAATGCCCTCCTACTTCCCTGCATGAACATTTCAAGGGCAAAGTCATAAGTGGACATTTTCATGGCTGGCTATCATCTCGAATTGTGATTTTGGGAATCCGATTCTTGGTTTTCTAGATCAGCACTGTCCAGTAGAATATAATATGAGTTGCATAATGTATATAATTTTTAATTTCCTAGTATCCATATTAAAAAATTAAAAAGCAGGCAAAATTAATTTTAATACTCTATTTTATTTAACCTAATTTATCAAACACAATATTATTTCAATATGTAATTAATATACAAATTACAAAAAGATTTTTTGTACTAAGACTGAAATTTGATGTGTATTTTAAATATACTTTACATCTCAGATAGAACTAGCCACATCTTAAGTGCCTAGATGACTAGAAGCCACTGTATTAGAAAACACAGGTCTAGAAAATTCTTCTAGAAGAAAAAAATGCAGTGAAAATAAAGCAGCCCCCTCTGCTCTGCTGATAATGGAAAATGAGCTGGGCAGTGATTCTTTTATTCTAACATTAATCATCATCATTTGCCATTCATACATCAATCATAGAGAACCCTCTTTGTTTCATAGCAAAATTAGCAAAATTACTTTCTAGTAATCTAGCAGCTTCCAGAACTTGCAAAATGTTGAACAAGACTATCTATACACTCAAACAGAGAAAAAAGGGTACAATATGAACAGTCTACAAGACTTACAGTCTCTAAAAATATGTTTAGTTTGTCATAAGTCTGACACATCGTTCATTAAAACATTTTTTCCCCACACATCTATTAAAATGTGCAGAAAAAACTAAGTCTTGCTGGGTAGTAAGATACAGACATTGCCTTCAATGAGACTTGTGTTCTCAGCGGTAAGACAGTGGATAAAGCAGGTAGAGGATAAATGTCTGTTGTATGGTAAAGATGAAAACTGCCCAACTCTATCTCTTATATGTGACCACGTGTTCTTCAGGAAACCCATGTTAATATTCCATTGTGTTTTTGAATTAGAAGCAAATGAAATAATTACCCTTCACTATTTACCAGTTGTATTAGCATAGGCTGATTTGTTGAATTTGCTTGAAAAGTAGAGTTAAAGACCTTTTGAAAATGGAAGAGGTTGTTTTCACGGGGGAAGAGAAGAGAGGGGGCAGATGAGAACTCATCTGTATAGCAAGATGGAGGACTTTCTTAATAATGGAGAGGGGTAGTTTGAGGCATTAGGCATTAGACTCTAGTGGCCAGTGGCCAGGACCTCCCTCTGTTGTCTCATAAGTAAAAAATGGTTCGTTAATAGGGTTTCATGACATGGCATACATAATCAGTTTAGAATAACATGGCATACAGCTAACAAATATCAGGAATTATTATTAGTTTTGGCATTCACTTTTATGTCAGTAATAATTATTAGCATTATTAGCTATGCTGCTTCCCTAATTGGTTTCCAAAGTTTTGCAAGATTTTTTTGTTGGGGGTGGGGTTGAGGCTTCACTCTGTCACCCAGGCTGGAGTGCAGCGGCATGATCATGGCTCACCACAGTCACCGCAGCCTTGACCTGGGCTCAGGTAATCCTTCCACCTCAGCCTCTTGAATACCTGGGACCACAGCGTGTGCCACAATGCATAGTCAATTTATTTATTTATTTTTTAACGTTTTCAGACAAAGTTTATTTGAAAAGGAAAAGAAGAAAGATAGATATGCCAGAGCTGGCACGGGTGATAGAAACTGCAAGATTTTTTTTTTTTTTTTTTTTTGTAGAGACAAGATCTCCCTATGCTGCCCAGGTTAGTCTTGAGCTCCTAGTTTCGAACTCAAGCAATCCACCCGCTTTGACCTCCCAAAATATTGCCATTACAGGGGTGAGCCACCGCAACCTACCTGACTCTTGACTCTTTTAAGCAATCCTGATTTAAAAAAAAATAGACAAATTCTAATGATACTCTCCTTAAGATGACAAAACTGGGGCAAAGAGAGGAAAATGACTTGCCCAAGGGCTAGGAGACTGCTCCTAAAATGAGGGAGGCCTAATACCATTTAAGGCAGTGGTGTTGGATTTCCCCAAAGACAAGGGTTTCACACACTTATAGGCTGGAACCTGAATCCAGGTTGCACCACTTAACTCACAGTCATTTTGGGAAGCTAGCTGATTTCTCTGAGCGCTCAGTTGTGCACCTGCCAACTAGGTATAATAAACACACCTAGAGTTGGTAAAACTCAGTAGCATGATGCATTAAAAGTGCTGTGCTCAGGGTTCAATAAAATCAGTTTCCCCATTTATAACTGTCATTATTATTACTATTGTTGTTGTCGTCATAGCAGATCTTATTGGGTATGTCGGATAGTGTCTGTCTGGGATGCTCTGATGCATTTTGGTTCACCGCTGTACCCCAGCGCTTGGCACCTAGTAAGACACTCAGGCAGGAAACGTTTGGGGAATGAACAGACGTCATCTGAGGCAGGGAGGGCAGCCGGCTTTGCCTCCGAGCTTAGCCCTTGCTCTCCTTCCAAAAGCCGAAGCCCGATGCCGCTTGTAGCCCGGGAGGCCAGACACTTACTTGGCAGCGGGCTGAAACCCACCTCGCCCCAGACGCCCCCGTCGCAGCTGCTGGAGGGCGCCCCGCCTGGGCGCGCATGTCTGTGTGAGCGACTCTCTCCCAAGCCCTGGCTTTTCTGGTTTGCGGTTTATTTACTTAAGCATTTACAGCTCCCAGGAGCAGAGGGAATGCTATAGAAGTAGGGTCAGGACCGAGGTCGCAATTTGTATTTTCTCCCTCCCAAACTCAGCGCCAGTAAGTCACACCACACGGCTCTTCATATTTGTGCACCGGAGATGTTTGCGTTTCTTTACTTCCTGCGGAGCAACGAAAGACACACGCAGTTCGGGTTCAGAAAAGTGCTCTCACGCGACTTGCCTGTGTCCCCGCTTGCGTGGACCGTCGCCCTCGGACTTAGTTTTTCGTGCAAAACCAAGCAGGGCGGAGCAGATTAAATCAAGACAACCTCGCGCCTTTAATCCTTGACCGCAAACACTGGCGTTTTTGTGCTCCGGATTTCTGAAATTCTTGGCTCGGGGACCCAAAGCAGAGGGAGGGTGGGTAACAGCTTGTAAAAACTTCCCAAAGCAGAAATCTGAGCTCCTTCCCGCTCCTCGGCCCTCAGTGACACCTGGATCCCAGGGAAGAGGGGCAGCCGAAGAAGAAGAGTCCCCAGGGGGTGGAGGCGCTCCCCAGGGTAGCTTGGGGTCGTGGGCTCCAAGCCCCGCCGGCCCCGCCAACGAAACGGCTTTGCAGCCCGGACGCCCCGCAGGACGCCCCTCCCCTGTCCCCGCGCACATCTATTTAGAGCCCAGCCTGGGCGCCCAGGGGATTCTGGGACTTGTAGTCCCTCCCAGCAGCCCCAGGCGCCACTACGACCCGGGCCTCGGACTACATTGCCCAGGGAGCTTCCCGGCCTATATAAGCCGCCGGCCGCCGCTTCAAAGTGCAGTAACCATGTGGATGTGCTGCTGAGGCGTTTCCTCAGGCTCGCTGGGGTGGGAGGAGAGGAGGAGGAGGAGGTGGTGGAGGAGGAGGAGGCAGGGGGTGGAGAGAGAGAAAGCGCACGCCGAGAGGAGGTGTGGGTTTTCCGCTTCCATTCTAACGGAACGAGCTCTCTCTTCGCGGACATGGGATTACCTAGCGGCTGCTAACCCCTCTCCTCGCCCTGCTCCCCCAAACCGGCGCGGCTCCCGGGCACCAAGGTAGCGGCTGGGGCCGGGCAGAGGGCGCGGGGAGTTGGCACTGTACCCCCGGGCGCAGAAGTTTTTGCTCCGCTCTCGGGGAGTGCTTGGTGGATATGCATGAACTTGGCATGCGTTTGGGGATTCTTTTCTGCGGCTAGTTTTTTGGGAGGGGGTTCATTTGAGGCTTTAAAAACCCCAAATATCCTCGATTTTAGTACCTGGCTGTGAGGGTTCCCCATTCTGGACTGGAATGGCATTTCCCCAAGTTGGAAACTGTTGCTGCAGCTGCAGGAAATAGTTTTTTTTTTTTGGAGGGAGGTTGTGGGGGTGTCATATGTGAATCTGCTCAAGGAAATAGTCTTTCTAAAAATGTAGTCCTCTCTTGCGCTGCATGGTTAGAAGAATGCATGTGTGGGGGCCCCCGTGGGGAGGGTTTTTAAAAAACGGAAGAAAACCGGGGGAGCGGTGAGAGATGGAGTGTGGACGAAGCTCATGCCCAGTGAGGATGCGGGCTTCAGATACTTGGCCTCCGCGCAAGGAAACAAGTGCTTTGGGATCTGCCAGACACTTCTCTAAGTTCCAGCCTTTGGGACGTTCGAAGTTTGTACGTGCCTAGTCTCACTTGTTAGTTATATCCTGGAAATAAATAAGCGTAGTTACCTGTAATCTTTGCCCAAGTGATCCCGCCAACCGGTCTGCCAAATTTTTTGGGGGGGTGGGGGAAGAGTTCTCCCTAGGGAAAGAGGCTAAAGAAGATGGAAAAACTGGAATTTGGAGAATTTCTGTTTGCAATGTGGAGACCTTCTGTGGTCTCCTGCTCAGTCTTCTTTCTTTCTAAATATTTAGGAGCTGACTGCAGAGAAGCAGGATTTGCACCCCTGGCTGTGCGTGTTTTGGCAACAGAGTGCCTGACCCGGGTCAGGTGAGTGTGGAAGCCTGAGTGCTGTAGTCAATAATGAGTTTTTGTCCTAAGCCTGTTTCAAGTCCTCTCTAAACAGCCGTGGAGGTGGGGAGTAGGAAAGAAAAGAAACTCCGTGGCTTAGTCTTCAACATTTGTCGCTGCCTTTGGTGAGGGCCTTAGGGAGCAGAGATCCAGTAGACGGTCCTGCCCTAGCACTTTTGGACATGGCTCAGAATTGAAGGATCCTGAAGGTTTATGGGAGGGAGCATTAAAAGGAGCAATAAAGGGGTGGCCCGTTGCTGGCCTGAGAAGCGTGCTGATGATTTAAATTCTGAAGGATGCAGCGCATTTCATCTGCCAAGATATGTAAACAAAAATTAACTGCCTCTCTCTTTAAAAAATAGTCACTTTCTTTTTTCTTTCTTTGAACTTGTGCTTAATCAGGGTAGGTTGGATTGCAAGAAATGAAAGTAGTTGCTGCAAATTGAAAGAGTTGGAACTTGAAAAAGGGAAGTTCTTGAAGCATAAAATAATAGCATCCAGCTCTTGATCCACCTGAATGTCAAGGAATCTGATGGGTCTGTATTCTTTTGGTGCCCATCTAGGAATATGAGCTGAGGGCAGCGTTTATCTGTAAACACAACAGTTCCTATTTTTCCCCCAAAATGGTCAGACTGTACTTCAAGAGAGGGTGGTTTCAGCGGGTGCATGTACATCCCCATTGCTGCAGATTTAGCCGTCAAAAGTCTTTTCTTCTGAAATGCTCAGTAATAGGATAAACAACAGGGTAACTAGGGTGGGGTGGGAGTATGTGACAGAGTCTTAATAACTTTTTAAATGTCCTAAATATATAATTGTTCCCTGGGCTACAATCTTTGGACTTTTCCAATTAGAAAATAAAAGTCAGACACTTCATTATAGTAGTAGAGTCCTTTTGTTTCCTGTTGATAAGATTCTCAGGAGTATTGGCAGAGTGAAAAGCATTTGGATCTGTGAGGTCTAGTTCTTCTTGGAGTTCTTTTATTGACTCACATGGCTGTGTGGATACTTACAGGCCCAGGGATTGGGTCCAGTTCCACTCTTCAGGGTAAGCTGAAGACAGGGATAAACTAGTCTACAAACTCTTCTCTAGCTAGTTGCTAAAAATAAGACTTACCCATTAAATACTTGTAAGCAGGTCCAGAGCTGTATATCACAAAAACTCTGTGCAACATGCACAGGTGAAGAAACTGAGGTGCAGGGAGTGAAATTGCTAGCCCAGTACAAAGTAGAAGCAAGATAAAACCCTAGGGGGGCTGTACTGTAACCCACAAATGAACCTAAATTGGTGATGGGAGGGTGATGAGAGGGAAGCTAGGAAAAATGTTTAACTTTTTGCTGTTGGTGAAGTAACTTTCTTATGTCCCACCAAGGATGAAATAACAATACTTAATCTTGATGTAAGAAGGAAATGATGTAACTACAGAGGTAGGGATAAAAGATTATGAATATTTGAGGAGGTATTATATATTTTAATGAGTTCATTTTGGAAAGCTGTATGTTGAAAGCTTGCATTAGAAGAGTAATGTAAAGAGAAACCAAACCACAAGGAACGTTGTCTAAGTTGCACATTAGATCTCATAGCTGAAATACATCTTGATCATCTGCACCAAAGCGTCTGAGTAGGCTAAAAGGATCAGGCATTTCTCCATCTGAATAATTCGAAAGTTGAAACTGCAGTTAGTCTGAACTGAAATGCTGATACCTTTTCATATACCCTCCAGTTTGCTTTGTGACCAGTCGTGCAGAACAGTTCTTTTTCCTTTTTTTGCAAGCGTTTGTATGTGTACATGCGTCTGTGTGTTGAAAGTACAATCTGCTCTTTGAATAATTCAAATCAGAACAGAAAATCCTGTCAAGAGTTCCTTCTTATTAGGCAGGGAAAGTACTTCATGTTGTAAATGAATTACCCCAGCCTCCACATCGAGATTCACGAAAATCATTTGGGGTTCACAATACTATTATCCATTTAAACAAGGTGGTTGCCTTTTGGAGGGAATTGGCATCTTTTCTTTAGGAATGAGAAATTGAATGTTGCTCACAAGGAAAAAATAGGTGAATTCCACAAGGAAAATCTGTTGTCTTCTTCAAAATACTCAACTGACAAAGACGAGAGAGAGAGAGAGAGAGAGAGAGAGAGAGAGAGAGATATTGAGGGAGAGATTGAGAGATTGAGAAACAAAGAAAAAAGAAAACTCTAATCCATTGTATGCAACCAATTGACTTCCAAAGGAAAAAAAATCACATGGATATTTAGCTCACTTATAATGATCTCATGGAAACTCTGGCCTGCTTTCTTTACAAGCAGCTCTTAGAAGACAAACCAAAATAAAACAACAAATACCAAATATGAACAACAGAAAAAACAACCAAAATACAAGTAGGCTTGGAGTTAGGTTTCTAGGTCAAGCTGTCCTTGGATACATCTAATTAAGGACTCTACACAAGGCCAATGCCCCATCGTGTTTGCTATTGGTTTGATTTTTTAAAAATAAAACACATTGCATTTGCAGGCTCTCTATCTACTGGAAGGGCATGCAATTCCCCCCCACCCACCTTTTGACTGTTTTAAGTTTGTGCACGGCTCCTTTGATGAATGCAATTAAGGCTTGAAGTCAGTGACACGAATGACATAACTTCCTTCCAATTGTCTTCATGTCTGTGGTTCTGAGATGATTGCTAATGAGGATGAGCTGCATAAAGCACTGAAGCCATCACCTTTTGAACTTGGAGATTTTCTAAATTGGACATAGTTTAAGGCACTTGGTGTGATAAATCTCTTTAACAGACTCAAATGCCTGTTAAAGTTGTTGTGATTCGAGTGTTCTTTATTCAACAAATTTTTTGAGCATCTATTATGTGCCAAGGTGTAAGCTCAGAACACAGCAATGAACAAACGTCCTGTTCCCAAGAGGCTTAAGTCCTAGTTGGGGGGAGGCAGCCTATATAAATAAGTATTATAGTATCAGAGGTAGTAAGTGCTGTGGAGAAAAATAAAGCAGCATAAGGGGGGCCAGAAAATAATAAGTGTTGACAAGGATGTTGAGAAATTGGTGTATTACTGGTGGGCATGTAAAATGGTGCAGCTGCTATGGAAAACAGTATGGCAGTTCCTCAAAAAATTAAATAATTACCAATCCTCTTGTAGGTATATACAGTACTCCAAAGAACTGAAAGTAGAGACTTGAGTAGATATTTTTACACCTGTGTTGATAGAAGCGTTATCACAAAACCAAAAGATAGAAACAACCTGTGTCTATCAATGAATGAGTGGATAAACAAAATGTGGAATATATGTACAATGGAATATTACTCAACCTTGAAAAGAAAGGCAATTCTGACACATGCATGGATGAAGCTTGAAAACATTATGCTAAGCCAAATATAAAAGAACACGTATGATTTCCCTTGTATGAGGTGCCTCGAGTAGTCAAATTCATAGAGACAGAAAGTAGAATGATGGTTGCTGGTGGGGGAGAAGGGGGAATGGAGAGTTAGTGTTTATTGGATGTGAAATTTCAGTTTGGAAAGATGTAAAATTTCTGGAAATGGATAGTGGTGATGGTTGTACAATAATGTGAGTGTACTTAAAGCCACTGAAGTGTAACGTTTAAAAATGGTAAATTTTATAGTGCACATTTTACAACACCAACAAAAACAACACCAACAAAACATGATAAGGGGTTAAGGGAGTACTCAGGTGGAGATTAGATCTTTAATATGGTAACATTTGAGCATAGATCTGAAGGAGGAGAACAAATTAATGATTAGCGCTGTAAATATTTGGGGGAAAGTGTGTTATAAGTATGTTATAAATGTCTGGAGCAGCAAGTACAAAAGCCCGAGAAGGGAGTGGGTGTGACATGTTGGAAGAAGAGGAAGGAGGCCAGGGTGGCCACAACTGAGGGAGAGTGCCTAGAGTCAGGAGGGAGAGGGAGTCAGGGTTTAGTTGTATAGGTTCCAGGTTTTACAAGTCAACAATGATTTACAGAATTCCGTGGTTTTCAACATCACTGAACTACACTGTCCTTTCTGAAGAGACTGGTGAAGCGGGCAAGATCACATAACAGATGGAAACTTGATGGGGGGCGTAAAACTCAGATTTCTAGATTGTCTGGTTAAGCACATAACTTAATGGGATTGTAATTCATGTTAGGAAAGGTGAACCTACAGTTGGTTTGAATAGCAAGTTCTAAGAACCTAATGATAATCCTGGGGTTTCAACACAAAACTTGTATGCCCTACTGCCACCCTGCAATGTGTCCAGTGTCATTTAAAGGGAATTATACAAAAAGAACTAATATTCTGCTCTTTAGCATTCTCAGAGAATAAGAAACTTCACATCAGTAATTCTTCTTGATAAGTGAGGTGGACCTCTGCATATATACAGTCTTCTTTTTTTTTTTTTTTTTTTTGAGTTGTCTCAGTCCACCACCCAGGCTGTCCACCCCAACATCAACCTGCTGGGCTCAGGCGATCCTTCCACCCTAGCCTTCCAAGTAGCGGTAACTACAGGCACGTGCTACCATGCCTGGCTAATTTTTTGATTTATTGTAGAGATGAGGTCTCGCCAAGTTGCCCAGGCTGTTCTTGAACCTGTGGGCTCAGGCAGTCCCCTCACCTTGGCCTCCCAAAGTGCTAGGATTACAGTCTTAAGCCTCTGCGCCTGGTCTGTATACAGTTTTAAATCTCATGTTTGTTAATTACTACGTAATATATGCATATACAGGTGGTGTATGCTTTGGTCCCAGCTACTGAAGTGGCTGAGGCAGAAGGATCACTTGAGTCCAGGAATTTGGGGCTGTAGTGCACTATGATTGTGCCTCTGAATACCACTCTACTCAGCCTGGACAATGTAGCAAGACCCCATCTCTATAAAAACATTTTTTTTATAAAGAAGAAAAAAAATATAGCATATTCATCATAGTAAACACTAGGAAACAAAGATAAAAACAATTCTGACCATTCAATATTAGAATATG